GGACTTCAGGGGCTCCCCCGGGCCTGGAGAAGGACACAGTCACGGGAAGGCTCTTGCCCAGACCCCCGCGCCCTGCAGTGGGAGGCAGCGATGGCACAGCCAAATCCCTCCAGCTCCAGGGCAAGCGTGGGGACTGCCGGCCCCTGCCCCGCGCAGGGCTGCTCCCTCTCCCCGTCCCTGACCTGCGCTGGGCTGCTCCGCCGTGCTGCTGCGCTGGGCCCTGGCAGTGATGCGGGGCGGCAGCGGGCTGCAGAAGAGCCCTTCGTGCAGCTCTGCCTGCAGGGTCCGGACGCGCAGCCTGATGCCCACCAGCCGCCGCTTGCTGCTGATCTCCAGCGAGAGGGAGAGTGCCAGGGCCAGCTCCACCAGGCAGGCGTCATCCTGTATGGGGACACGGGCAGGGAGCGCATAGGCAGCCACCCACCTCCCTCCATCCACTGCTGGACGCTGTGGGAGAAGCGCCGGGCGCAGCACAGAGCCCAGAGCCTTGCAGGAACCTCGCAGCATTGCCCAGCCTCAGGGACGCACTGCAACAGGTCCTCAGGGTGCCCCAGAGAGCCAGCACCCAGGCTCGAAGCGTTGACTCTCTCCCTTCCCCAGCACTCACCAGCTGGCTGCTCCGGAGGACTTTGCTGTTCACCTTTGTCAGGCTCACCTCGCAGGTCAGGCTGGGGAGAGCAGAGGACAGACAGGGGCTGCGGGCCCTGCTGCCTCCGAACCAAGCCCCTGCCCTCCCCTTTCTGTGGGACACAGGGACCCCAAGCCCCTGCTCCAAGTCCTCCCAAGCACAGAGCACACCCTAACTCTGTGCACTGAGCAGCAACTCATCATTTGGAGAGCGCACAACTGGAGCTTCCCGTGAAGGGAAGAGGGACCAGGCCGGCCTTGGAGCAGGTCAATGTGTCACACTGCACTGCTGCTGAGCAGGGTGGAGAGAGGTGAGACACCAGGTTGGGGTCAGAGGAGCCCCCCTGCTCCTCAGGACCCAGGACCAGGCGCGAGGAGAAGAGCGGGACGCGAGCGCAGCGTTACCTCTTCCCATCGCCATTCAGGAGGAGACGCATCTTGCTGGCCTGGATGTGCCAGAGAGACTCCGAGGTGGCCACGTGCAGGACCATGATGTTGATGGAGTCCATGTGGACGGAAAAGAGCTGGGGGGAAGGTGCTACTGTGAGGGATGTCCGGCAGCAAGGCAGCCCCCAACAGCCTCTTGCGGAGCCCGTGCCTCACCTGGCTCAGGAGCCTCAGCAGGGAGGGTTTAAGGGTCAGGTCTGCTCTGCTTTCATCTTCATCGGCTTCCCTGGGAGCCTCCGGGATGGGTGGCTGGAACCCAGGGCCCTTCTGGAGATCCGTGCGGATTCGCACCTCACCGAAACACAGCTCAAAGTAGCGCCTGTGGAAGAACAGCACGGGCAGCTCTTAGCAGAGCTCACACGTGGCCAGGGCTGCCCCCCACCCTGGGGACATGCAGGATGGGCACGAGGACACCCACAAGACACTGCCATCTCAAAGAACAGGGACTTGCTCCCACACAGAGCTGACCACGGGGAAAGAGGGACTGCAGAAAGGTGTAAAGGCAGCAGAACCACAGCCAGCGGGGCCAGGGATGAGCCAGACCCCCAGGAGAGGAGGGAGGGAGCTGGGGTGGGGGTACGTACGGCAGCTCCCGGCTGAGTTTACTGGAGATCCAGACATTGTCAATCTCCTGCAAGGACACAGAGGTAGGTCAGAGAAGAAACAACCTGGCTTTGCCTTGTGATGCTCATCCCGACGTTCCCGCTCCGCTCCCAGTGCCCGGCATCACGCAGGGAGCCGCCAAAACCCCCAAATTCAGCAGCGGGAGGAAGGGCCTGGCACCAGCTACGGGGCCGCGCAGCACGAGCATGGCTGCAGGGATTTGCTGCCAGCCTGGAATCTTCAGCTCTGCGTGAAGCTTCTGCCGGCACCAGGTGACGGCCAGGCGACACGCCAGCCACCTGCGGGGACGGGCAGAAGGCCAGGGTCAGCCTCCCCGCGGGGGCCGGGGACCCGCTTCACCCTTTCAGTGCCAGCTCCAGCACCCACGGCTGGGGGGGGGGGGTCCCAGGGCCTGGCCCTGTCACCACGGGTGCCCCAAGCTGGGGCCCAGACCCTGCAGGGTCACCCCCTACGAGCCCTGAACCCCCCCCCCCCCCGCGCCCCCCCCCCCCCGCCATACTCCCGTCCTCCCGTCCCAACTCGTCCCGGCATGGCCCGCGGGGCCGCGCTGGGGCTCTGTGAGATGCCAGCCGCGTTTCGTGGCCCCTGCGGACAGCGGTCAAGGCCGGCCCGACCGCAGGGCAGCC